TTTCCACCTACCTTGTATGTTATTATGTCTTATTCACTTCTAAGTGCATATTTTCCACCTACCTTGTATGTTATTATGTCTTATTCACTTCTAAGTGCATATTTTCCACCTACCTTGTATGTTATTATGTCTTATTCACTTCTAAGTGCATATTTTGTGAGGGTATTGATGCTAATAAAACATGTTATGTCTATGTCTAACTATACGATAAATAAAGCTGCAGCTAGGCTCTACCACGTAAATACAAATGGAGTATGGACGACTTAAAGTTCTTAACATTTTTAAGCTCTTTCTTCGTGAACGGATTTTATAATGCTCTAATGAAAATTCGTTTTTCCAAGAGACACCTAAAAGAACTAAGTTATTAAACAAACAACGTAAATAAGCGTCCTAAATATTATATTATTATACGTTATAAATATAAAAAACGTCTTATAACTAAACCTTTAATAAAATCGATGAGAAAGGTCAATAATTTGTTTATCTGGTCACTATATTGTGGAATACATGTTGATATTACAACAGATGGCCTCTTTTTAATAGAGGCCGTGACGGCTTTACAATAAGAAAATAAGAAATTGTCTCGAAGCTACTAGCTACGACTTATCTCTCTAGAATATAGTGCAGCCACAATCTAAAAAATATTTAATTTGTTCCTATAATATACTTGTTTCTTCATCTTGTAAACGGATAACAATGAATGCAATGTTACTTGAGGTCAGAAACACGTAAGAACACCTAGAGAGTAAATTAATCCAATAATCTCTAAAATATGCAAACAAAAAGTGTATTAATACGAAATCTATCAGTACAAATATTGAAATTTTTCTTAAAACTAATTTTGAATGCACTCTGAAACCAGCTATTTCATCGTATTGTTTTAGAAGTATTTTAAATATCTTTTTGCTACCATCCACTTCCTTAAATAGTTAATCTTTATTAACACTTAATATTATAATATTATAAGCGTGAAAGTTACTCTTTCACGCAAAAATAACTAAATGGATTTTAATTAAACTTTACAATTATATATCTCATACATCAGAATTACCCATAAGCTATAACTAATAAAGATTATGTGTAAATTGGTCAAAATATAACGATAAATGTTAAGCAATAAAATGCAGATGACAAAGTGTAAAGAACCGGAGACCCTTTTTAATGGATATGAGAATTTCCATCTTATTCATCCATTCCAACCAGTGTTGAACCAGTGTTGAAACAGCTAGACTAGTTTACTTCAGCTACTTCCATAGCATAATGTCGTATGGTATTTTGCTATGGGGACACGCAGCTGACACTGAAATTATATTTGTTTTGCAGAAGAGGGCCATAAGAGCAATTTATGATTTAAAGCCTAAAGAGTCGCTGCGACAAAAATTTAAGGAAATTAATATATTAACTTTGGCCTCTCAATACATTTATGAAAATTTAATGTACGTACACAAAAATAAAAGTAGTTTTATAAAAATAAGTGATATTCATTCTGTAAATACTAGGAACAGACACAAGCTAGTAGTACCAGTTACTCGACTCCATCGAGTCAGTAGTCAGTTCATTCTTGGGGCGATGTATACGCTTTTACAACAAAATTCCAGAAAATATACAAAGTTTGGCCTGTTCAAAATTCAAAAACTTTATTAAACTAAGTTTGTATAAAAAGGGTTATTATAATATTAAGGAATTTATGGATGATAATAACCCCTGGAAATGAGGTGATCGCTACCAAGCTATTTCTAATTTGTTGTGTTGTTAATTTGTGTAACATCATGATTGTAAGCTGTTATTTAAAAAAAAAGTCCCGCTGGGTTTCTTGCTGGTTCTTCCCAGGACAGAGGTTTTTTCCGAACCAGTGGTAATCAAACAAAAGAGTGACTTTCAATAAGTATTATTTATAATCTATATTGAATAAAAAAGTTTCTGTTTCTGTTTCTGTTTCAGTCCCCTGGGGTACGATATCACCCTCTCTGCATTTTGCTTTTTAATCAATAAGATAGATGCAGATGTCTATGGGCCTCAGTATCCACTAACCATTAGGTGGACAGTGTGCAACGAGCATGCGGTCCACGTGATGGTTATATGTCATCCTTATCCTTTAAAAAGAATTTTCTTTTGCAAAACTAAATGTATGAAGATCATTTAATCAATCAAATCGAGAAAGAGAAAAAAGAACGAGATACATAACGATAACAGTACTAATTAAAGAACAAAGAGCAGTTACTATTTGTTTCTAATGGAAAGCTCAAATTAAGTCCATATTCTTTGAACTATTTTTTCTTCTGATCCTAATGATTTAAATCTTAAAAAATAAAAATAAAAATTAGGCGGGCAACAAGTCAATTACAATCTAAAATGTGATAAAATTCTAAAATAAATAAAAACTAATTATAGTTTTATATATTTAATGTACAACGCAAGGTATGTTGTTTATTTAAGAATAATTTAACACAATTTTTTGTAATGGTTGTTAATTTTTAATCGTTATAAAGTTATATAATTTTTAATCTTCTACATTTCGAATTCCTTCCACTTTTGGTCATAGCAGATGTTCAGACGTCCTAATGACGTATCTACACAATCTGTGTAGATAAATATAAAATTAAACAGTGTAGTGGCGGTGTAAGAATATCCACTAGCACATATCATCAGGTGGGTGTCGTAAGAGGCTACAAAGGGAAGCTCAACCAGGAGATGAACTAAAGCATCTTCCTGATAACACCTAAATAAAAATAACCGCTTGCCAAGCGTAGCAACTATGGCATATGCATGCCATATGCAGCAATTTGATAGGCTGTAATGATGATATCTTGTGACTTCCGATTGATCGCAATATAATCATCTACTTTCTTAATGGATATAAAATATGTAGATTACCGATGGAGTAGCGCGTAGCGTACCGAAATCGAGAAGAAGAGACTGAATGCATCATATGTGGAGAAACATTTGAAGAGGCCTGGATTCAGTACCAGGAATTCAAAACTGGGCCCATGAAGACTGTTTACATAAATTCTTCGGATATTTATTTTAATTGTGATGTTTCTAAGGCCAAAAAATGTTTAGGCCAGTATTGACTACTATGTCCTATAAATAAGACCAAAGTATTTTCAATAATATATTCCTTTAAAAAAATTGATATGATTATTAATTTTAATTACTATGATTAAAGAAGTTCCTAACTTTACTTTAAGTGTAAAATAAAGACAGAATCTGTTTTTATTGATATTTTTCTTTCCAATTAATTTTAGTGTCTGGGGCTACCAGAACTTCCCCTATAAATGAATACATGTTTGATAATAACCCCTGGGAATGAGGTGGTCGCTCTCAAGCTAATTCTGAAATAAACTTTGTAAATAGTTTGTAATTATTTCTATTTTAAAATTTATTATAAAAAGTCCCGCTGGGTTTCTTGCTGGTTAGACAGAGGATTTTTTTCGAACCAGTGGTAAAAAAGTGGTAAAATAAAAAATGAATTTCAATAAGAATTACTTGTAATCAATATTGAATAAAACATTGTTCTATTCTATTTTATTCTAATAATTAGGAAATAAAGTATTAAAAAAGAAAAAGAGAGACAATTTATTTTGTCTCTCTCGTTTTAGAAGAGGCAATAAAAATATTCCTTAAAAATTATTTATTACAATTTTTTTCATGTAACATCGGGTACGTTGGGGTAATACCGGACGGATTTTCGAATAGTTGGAAGAGTCTGCCAAAAACTTTAATTTCTCGACATTCGTATACGTCAGATTTATGGAACCTGGAGCAAACCGTTAATCGTTAAACGTAGTTTAGCTCTGAGAATCTTTTGCTTGTGTAAACTCAACGGTTTCTGCTTTAAAGGTGTGCGAAAACTAGACATACTTTTTTATATGCATAATGAAAAATTGGCCATTAAGGGGTAAGATCGGACTTAAATTTAAAACCACTTCTACTGCTTAGAGAAAAAAGTTTATAAAAGAGATTTGTCTTATATTTAACGTTCAAAAACATATTTCAATATGATCTATAAATTACTAGAAACATAAATGTTCCAAACGATTTTCTCTTTTTTTGTTTTTTGCTATCCGATCTTATCCCTGATATAAAGAAATTGTAATTTTATGTTTCTCAAACTTTGTTATGACATAAGATGGAATTACTCAATATAAGAGAAAGATCGGATGCATTTGATTTTATATGGGAAAAAAATAACAGTAAGGACTGGCGAAATGCCCTGGGATAATGCAGGAGTTAAGGAAGATATAAATATTTTAACAAAGCGGCATTTATTATTATAAATTATTTTTTAAATAATTATTATAAATTACATTTTGATTTGTAATAGAGGATAGATATAGATGTCTATGGGCCGCAGTAATCACTTAACATCAGGTGGACTGTGTGCTCCTTTGTCACCCTTATCCTATAAAAAAAATGTATTTTAATGTGTACTTAAAATTAAAAAAACCATTGTATTGTTTTATTACTTTTAAATATACAGACTTGCTAACGAGACTGAGTCCCATAGTCACTTGAGTAATCAACGAAAAAATATACACGACCAATGAAAGTTTAACAACCACTGCCATATTTGTAACAGGCAAAGATCGGATAGTATTCATCCGATCTTCACTCACGAGGGGAAACATCGGATCTCGGCCTACAGCGATCTTACCCCTGCATGGACCAGCTTTATTTAGCTATAACTTCATAAAAATTAGTATCCACACAAAATAATAACAAAAGAAGCCATATTCTCGCTAAAAATCGTAAATAAAAGTGATGGGGAAAGATCGGATGGACAAAAATAATACAAAAATTACATTGTTTTATAAAATGCCACGCAGCACAGGTCCCACTTGCCGGAGTGACTGGCGCGAACTGAGGGTCGGGGCAGGATGAAATGGCGTCGTGTAGCATATTGTTAGCTTTTCAAAATATGGCATAATTCGCCGGGAATTTGAATCCTACGGTCTTGCCCCATCACCGATCTTACCCCAACGTACCTTAATTTATAAACATTATTTAATATAAGCAACACCGGCTTCTTTGTACAACTCATTCCAAAACCTCATACGATCCTTATCTGCAAATTTTGCCATCGCCATTTTCTCTTCTAGCTTCAAGTACTCCTTTCCAGTTGCAGTGTACGGGAGCCATTCAACTTCCGTGCAATGATTTGGTGTGGGGTTACTGTGAATAATAATGTTATAAATAGGAAAATATATTAAATCTCAACGTAATTAAATTAAATTTAGGCACTACACCATCAATCGTCCAACTTCAAATGCTCGCCTGACCGTAACCTTCGCGAGCTCGTTTCGAATATATACCGTGTTTCTAAAACAAAACTAGGGAAAACGTAGACGATGGAAGTTAATTAGATATCGATTATAATATAGTCTAAAATTATTTACTTTCGCATATTCCCATTTTCATTTTGATAAAACAATAAATAAATCAATTACGTCTCAACTAAAAGAGACATCTATTCAAAATTTAGATTACCCAATTAATACTCATTTATCTCGACCACGTTCGAAATTTGATTTAAAGAAAGTAGTTGAGTCGAAAGTTATGGATGGCGACTTAAAAAATGATTTTATTCTCAGACGACATCCTGGCTTCTCGTAATGTCAAAACTCTTGAAAGCCTTCGTCAGAAGCATCCTTCGGTCAAACCTTCTCAGGGTTTACCGCTGCCTCCCAAGACTTCTATGCAACCTTTACAAATTTCTGAAAAAGAGACTTTAGAAGCAATTATGTCATTTTCGAATGGCTCTGCTGGCGGCATTGACGGAATTACATCTTAAAGATCTTGTAAGCGCTTCTGCCGGTGACGCTGGCGGAGTACTTCTAAAAGACATTACAAAATTATGTAACTTTATGCTTTCTGGTAATGTTAATCCAAATTTCATTCCATTCTTATATGGGGCACGATTATGTGCCTTCAAAAAACGGATAACGGTATCCGCCCTATTGCTGTTGCTTCCACATTTCGACGCTTAACTTCAAAATTAGCTTGCAGGTACATAATCTCAAACCTTAAGACCAAATTTCAGCCTACTCAACTAGGCTTTCGCACTAAAGGTGGCTGTGAGGCGGCGGTACATTCAGTGCGTACATTTTTAACAAACTCTGATGCAGATGTTCTTGTGAAGGTTGACCTAAGGAATGCTTTTAACTCTATCAATAGGGTAACCTTGCTGAAAGAAGTGGCTAACAATACCCCCGAAATTTATCATTACATTTGGCAATGGTATAGTCAAAGTACTAACTTGTTTTACGAAAACCATTTTATCGATTCTGCTGTCGGTGTTCAGCAGGGTGACCCACTGGGTCCAGAACTTTTCAGTTTGGGAATTCAACCCATATTTTAAATTATAAATTTAAATTTAAATTGGAAATTCAAGCTGAATGTCTGGTATCTAGACGACGGTACACTTAGAAGGTAGAGCAGATGACGTCCTCAGTGGTCTTACTCATATTTTTCGAAATTTTAAAAATATTGGTCTTGAACCAAATAGCAATAAATGTGAAATATTTTCTCCAATAATTTATCTACTTCTCATAGAGACACTTTAATTCAAAATTTCAATCATGTTTCTCAAGGAATAAAAACTGTCAGTACGGAATCACTATACCTGCTAGGTGCCCCGTTGTTTTTCGATAGTATTAAACCTGTTTTGAAAACAAAATTTGATCAATTTTTAAACCACGCTGATAAATTGTATAAATTAAACCCCCACATAGCTCTTACTATTTTAAAATATTGTCTCCTTGTACCTACATTTACATACTTACTCCGCTCGAGTCCAGTCTGGGAATGTTCGGATATTTTAAAAGATATTGATAATAATCTTAAAATAGCTATAGAAAAAAATCTAAATTTAACTTTAAATACAACAGCCTGGACTCAAGCTACTTTACCTATAAAATTTGGTGGCATTGGTGTGAGAAATCTTTCTAGCTTTGCATTGTCTGCTTTCCTTGCTTCCGTGCATAGTGTCAGTGACTTATGTAACCTAATTTGAAATAATAAAGTAGACCTATGCTTTGCTACGGAGGCAGGGCAGACATGGCAAACGTTACGCTCTGTCCCGGTGAAAATGTTCCACTGGAAGTTAACCAACAAATACAGTGGGATATTCCGTTGGTACGGGGCGTGCAGAAAGATTTGTTTCATAATTTCCATAGTGACCAAGATAAGGCACGCCTTCTAGCTGTTTCGACTAAGGAATCTAGTCACTGGTTACACGCTTTACCATCAAGTAATCTCGGCACATTACTTGATGGGGAAAGCTTGCGCATCGCCGTAGGAATCCGACTAGGAGCGGCGCTTTGTCAAACCCATCAGTGCCCCTGCGGTAGCAGCGTCAACAAGTTTGGGCTCCACGGACTTTTATGTAAGAAAAGCGCTGGTAGATTTTCACGACACAGTTCTTTGAATGATGTCATCCGAAGGGCTCTTGTCTCTATAAATGTTCCCTCGGTTGTAGAGCCTTGTGGAATATTTAGAGACGATGGCAGGAGACCCGACGGTATGACATTGGTCCCTTAGGAGAGAGGTAAAGCCCTAGTGTGGGATGCTACTTGCGAAGACACTGGCAGCCTCTCATCTCAGTGGTACCTCGTTTAGAGCTGGGGCGGCATCAGAGGCAGCTGAACTGGGCAAGTGGCGCAAATATGAGTCTCTGAGAGATGACTACATATTTGTACCATTTGCTGTAGAGACTATCGGTCCGTGGGGTCCACGTGCGGTGAAGTGCCTAAAGGAACTCCATTCGCGGATGGTCGTTGCTGCTGGTGATAAGAGGGCTGGTTCTTTTCTCGCTCAAAGGCTAAGTATAGCCATTCAGCGGGGAAACGGAGCCAGAGTTCTTGGCACGATACCGCGGGGAGTAGGACTATTGATAATTAGGTTTCTAGTTTTAGTTTTTTTTAAATTATTATTGTAGTTTTTAATATTGTATATAATAATTAAACATTAATTTAAATAATATATAAGTATGTCTAATATGTATAAGTACGGCTTAATTAGGTTGGTGAAATCTCTCACATTAAATGTGATTTCGATTCACCACCGTCCGTGTCAATCTCCAGGCGAATTGAACCAACCAAACGCCGTAACGCGCAAAAACGTCTTATCCATCTCAAGTGTTGGAGAGTAGAACAAGCAAAAAATTTAAGATACCTATACAATTATTGCAACGGTTTTTATGGAATAAAGGTGACAAACGAGTACACTAAGCAAGGTAGTTATGTTCTTCTCAGGCCGTGGTAGTGGAAAGTGGATGATTAAAAATCAAATTGCAATTGTCACACCTGAAAAATATGATCTCATTAATGAAAAGTCGTCGGAGAGTTATAAGTATATTCTTTTCTAAAAAGGGTATCTGGTTCACATCACTAACCAAAAAAAAAAAACGGCAGATTGCTATTAACTTTCTAGTCTGAAATAGCAGTATATTCTGAGCAACTTTCACAGTCAAGCCGACCTATTCGTATTGCAGTCATATTATAAAATGCTACAAAGAGAATGTAAACCTCCTGGACGATTGATTGATGATCCATAGTTTATCAAAATAGGTCCTAAGAAACAAATATATATATATGCTGTGTAGTGGCGGTTATGAACATCCACTACCCCATATCTTTCCGTGGGTGTCGTAAAAGCCGACAAAGGGAAACAGGCAGGAGATGGGCAGCAGCATCTTCCTGGTAACGGCAAAAATACAATTAAAAAAAAACTGTGGTTGACAACCCGCTCGCCAAGCGTGGCAACTATGGCAATATACCCCCCATAATGAAAGTTACGAAGAGACGGCCCCCAGTCCCCGGCGGCCCCGCTATTCCTGGCTACGGTGGCGACCATGGTAACGGCGGGGCAGGGGGTGCTAAGAATCTCCCGTGGAGGTTCGGTTGCCATCTACGACGACTCGACCTGGCAACATACAACGCACGTACCCTGAGGACTGACGAGAAGATTGTGGAGCTGGAAGAAGAGATAGACAAGTTACTCTGGGATATTATAGGATTATCCGAAGTCCGAAGAGAGGGGGAGGAAACGGTAATCCTCGAATCCCGCAACTTGCCCTATTACCGGGAAGGCGACCATCTGTCCCAAGGAGGTGTCGGTTTTATCGTCCACAAGTCTCTCGTTAACAACGTTGTAAAGATTGAGAGTGTGTCGACGAGTGTTGCGTACCTTATACTCAGAATCACCAAACGGTATTCACTGAAGGTGATACAGGTTTTCGCACCAACCTCGGCACACCCCAATGAGGAGGTGGAGGAAATGTATGAGGATATCTCTAGAGCCATGCATTCCTCCAAAACCCAATATACGGTGTTAATGGGAGACTTCAATGCAAAACTAGGCACAAGAAAGAACGGTGAGCTGAAAGTGGGGAAATTTGGAATAGGGCAACGCAACCCAAGGGGCCAGCAGCTGGCCGACTTCATGAAGAAAGAGGGACTCTTTATGATGAACTCTTTCTTCCAGAAGCGGCCCCACAGGAAGTGGACCTGGTCCAGCCCCGACGATTCGACAAAAAATGAGATTGACTTCATTATGACGACCAGACGACAACTGTTCAGTGATGTCTCAGTGATCGCGAAGGTGAAAACCGGCAGCGATCACCGAATGGTTAGAGGCACACTGAACCTAAACGTTAAGTTGGAGAGGTCTCGTCTAATGAAGTCAACGCTCCGTCCCCTTCGTGCTCTAATTCAAAGTCCCGAAACCTTTCAGCTCGAGTTACAAAACCGTTTTCAGTGCCTAGAAGACTGCAATGAAGTGGACGATTTGAATGACAAGCTCGTGGAAACTGTCCATGCGGTCGGAGCTAAGTTCTGCAAGACCCGCCGCAGAAGAACACAAAAACTCTCCGATCACACTCTTAATCTCATGGCTGTTAGACGGGAGATGAAGCTACATTCTTCAACAGATTTGACAGCATACAGGCAACTGAACAGATAGATCTCCAAATGCATGCGGCGGGACTTACGCAACTTCAATACAGCTCGTATTGAAGAAGCCATCGAGCGGAACCAAGGCTCTAAAGTCTTTGCCAGAGATCTGTCTGCCAGAAAGAGCCAACTGTCAAATCTGAAGACCGAACGTGGCAGCATCATTTCCGGGGCACCTGAGATTTTGAGTGAGATTGAGAGGTTCTATGGGCAGCTGTACACGTCATCGTTTGAGCCGCACGCAAGTGTGAGTAACGATCCAAGAGCGAGTCTTATCCGACATTATTCCGATGATATCCCGGACGTCAGTCTAAGCGAGATTAGAATGACTCTCCAGTACCTTAAAAACGGCAAGGCTCCAGGCGAGGATGGAATTACAGCGGAGCTTCTGAAAGCGGGTGGAAACCCGGTACTTGAAGTCCTTCAGAAGCTATTTAATTCCGTCCTCCATGGTGGCATTACACCGGAGGCGTGGAGCAGAAGTGCGGTGGTCTTGTTCTTCAAGAAAGGCGACAACGCGCTCTTGAAGAACTACAGACCGATTTCCCTTCTGAGCCGAGTCTACGTGCTGTTTTCGAGAGTCATTACGAATCGTCTCGCGCGCAGACTTGACGACTTCCAGCCTCCCGAACAAGCCGGTTTCCGAAAAGGCTTTAGCACCATAGACCACATACATACCCTTCGGCAAATTGTACAGAAGTCCGAGGAGTACAATGTGCCACTATGTCTGGCGTATGTGGACTATGAGAAAGCCTTTGATTCCGTCGAAATTTGGGCGGTGCTGCAGTCCCTTCAGCGGTGCCAAGTTGACTGTCGGTATACCGAAGTATTGAAGTGCTTGTACAGTAGGGCTACGATGGCTATCCGAGTACAGAACCAGAGTACTAAACCTATCCAATTGCAGAGAGGTGTAAGACAGGGTGACGTCATATCCCCGAAACTCTTCACCGCTGCATTGGAAGATGTTTTCAAGCTTCTGGACTGGAAAGGATACGGTATCAACATCAATGGCGAGTACATCACTCACCTTCGATTTGGCGACGATATAGTCCTTATGGCAGAATTGCTGGAGGACCTAAGCACTATGCTCAATGACCTCAATAGTGTTTCCCAACGGATAGGTCTTAAGATGAACATGGACAAAACAAAGATCATGTTTAATGTCCATGTCACACCTATGCCCGTAGTTGTTGGGAACACTAAGCTCGAAGTTGTTGACGAGTATGTTTACCTGGGACAAATAGTCCGACTAGGTAAGTCCAACTTCGACCGAGAGGTCAATCGACGGATTCAACTCGGTTGGGCAGCGTTCGGGAAATTACGGCACATCTTCTCGTCAGGTATACCTCAAACCTTGAAAACGAGACTGTACACCCAGTGCGTGTTTCCAGTGATGACATACGGAACTGAGACGTGGTCCTTTATTGCTGGCCGGATGAGGAAGCTCAAGGTCGCTCAGCGAGCTATGGAGAGGGCTATGCTCGGAAATTCTCTGCGTGATAAACTCAGAAATGAGGATATCCGCAGTAGAACCAGAGTGACCGACATAGCCCAACGGATTAGTAAACTGAAGTGGCAATGGGCCGGCCATATAGCTCGAAGAACCGACAACCGATGGGGAAGAAAGGTTCTCGAGTGGCAGCCTCGTACCGGCAGGCGAAGTGTAGGGCGTCCCCCCACTAGATGGAGTGACGACCTGGTTAGATATGCAGGAAATCGATGGATGCAGGTGGCTCAGGACCGTGCTTTGTGGCATTCTTTGGGGGAGGCCTATGTTCAGCAGTGGACTTGTGAAGGGCTCTAATGATGAATGATGATATATATATATATATATATATATATTGTACACGCCCCTAGTTGCCCCGACAAAACTATCCCGTGGCCCACCAGCGGAACACTCGACGAGCAACCAAGGGTGGAGCCCAAAATGGCCTATGGATAATTCTAAATTAATTGCGAATAAGCAAGCACCACTTACCGATTTCCGGAGGTAGGGTTGACCACAGGGTACCAGTCAGGTGATAAGTGAGGTGTATGTAAGTAGTGTGTAGTAGTGTGTAAATGTAACTTGACTTAGCCGATGAAGTCGTACAGCAGATCCAGAGGCGGGTATCAGTTTATCAACTTTATTTGTACATTTAACTAACTTCAAAGTCAACCAAATCAACGTTCATCGAAATTAACACAAGTGACACACGACACAAGTTAAGAACAGTCGGTGAAAGTTCAATATTCTAAGTTCCGGGTTCACTTAGCACAAAATTACAAACACGGGAACGAACGCGGTCTCTTCTCGAGTCACAAAGTTTAGCGTTCTCCCGACAAAGCCAAATTCTTTCGTACGATATTAAGATGCCACAAGCAACTCGTCGGCCGTCGCGCGACAAATATTTTTCTAGACTTCTACTCGCCCCGGTGTACGCGGACAATTAATCTATATCCAGCACGAAGCGATCTTCTCTCGGGTCACACATTCTTAGCGTTTCAAAACTCAAAGGGGCCTCTTGTCACTTAAAGCAAGAAAGACAATCAATAAGAGGCGTTTGACACCCGGCCGAGCGCTTCGCACGTAACCGTCATACTTTAAGACTAGCCTCTTTATCACGAAAAACAAATTAAGATAACGCCGTAGGAGGCACGCGACCGACCGTCGCGCAACGACGCTTTTTCATACTAATCGGCAGCCGCGCCATCGAATGGAATGCGGACGGGAGCGGGGGGGGGGCGACGGTGACCTTGGTGACATCGGATGCTCGGATGCGGATGTCGTGAATGCAAATTTTTACAATGTTAATTATTTGGCCTAATAATATATATATATATGTTTAGGCCAAATAATATATATATTTATATATATATATATATATATATATATATATATATATATATATATATATATTAAATCAAACATAATATTACATTATTCAATTAGACTTTAAACAAAGCAGCACTAATGACCTATTATTAAGATAATTATTATTGAGTAGTACTGAAAAAACCGCTAAGACAAATTACGTCTTTGGTGAATTTATTTTTAGTACAACATATTAAATTATTCAGCTTACAAATGAGATTATAATATGTGCTAAACTGGAAGACATTAAGATCAAGCATCTTTACCTTTAAGGTACACATTGAACGTGTAATATGCTTTCCTTGTGAGTGATTGTTTGAGGTATTTAAAAAAATATTTAAAGGTAAGTTAACTTTCTCTAAATAGAGAGACTAATATGCGTCCGAGTGAATTCGCCACGCCTTTTCAGGCCGCATTGGCTAACTTGATATTATATACTGGAATAATATTTCATCACTTCTTACTTACTCAGTTTTAGCGAAATTAGTCCACAGCGTTGTTACTTTAAGCGCCAATTCTCTTAATTTTGGTTGTTCATCGTACGGTTTCTTGTTCAAAAAGTTATAAAACATATAGAAAAGTTCGTCGGCATGGCTCGCTCCTTTCAAGTGTCTAAATCCTGTGTAGTTCTTAATAATGTTTAAATCTGTGTCGTAATTAAACCGGTACATATAGATCGGCTGGCAAGAAGCACTATACAGATTCGCGAACCTGTGCGTGTTGTAGAAGAAATGGATGTCACTACCAATTTTTTCAATTATCTCGGGATCATCTTTAGTTAAATTTCTGCCACCTACGTAAAACTGTTTCACTCTCTCACCAAACTCTTTAAGTTTCTCGCTCCCTATATTCGCTGCTAGTTCTTTAGTGACGAAATAAGATGGATGTTTATTGTAAACGTCCAGTTTTTCTGTGAGATAATTTATCAATACTAAATCTTCGGCAGAATTGTAGCCAATCATAAGCGGTACCTTGGCCACTTTACCGTTTATTAGCAAATCGATTGGTTCCTCGTCCATAAAAGCCGCTACTCCATCAAACTTCTTTTCAATGACCGGGATAAAATAATCAGGTAGTCCTCGGTATGTCTCGTCATACGTCATTGTTTTTTGTGCAAGGTTCGTTAATAGGGTTGGCTTCAAACTACGTAGGAAGTCCAACAGCTCATTAGTGTCATTTGTTTCTTTACCTAAGAGTTTTGCCGCTCGAAAAGCCCGCTCTTTAGCGTTCCTGTCGATCGCCCAGTCGTGTATGCATGTGCCGCTTTGAACAATCACTCTGTGAAACAACCCCTCGGACATAGGCGATAACATATGGGACGTGACAGAGCTAGCTCCTGAACTTTCTCCAAATATAGTAATGTTATCTGGGTCACCGCCAAATCGAGCTATGTTGTTTTTAACCCATCTCAATGCGGCAGATTGGTCCTTCATGCCGGCATTGCCTGGAACCTCGGGTGTATCGAGGCATAAGTATCCCAGTAGTTCCAAACGGTAGTTCAAAGTTACTAATATGACATCGTGTCGCAACAGTAAGTCTGGGCTGAAGGTTTCCGAGTCGCCGGAGTTGTAACTGTAACTGCCACCGTGGATGAACACCATGACTGGAATTTTAGCGTTATGACGTAAAGATTTTGTGTAGACATTTACAAAGAGACACTCCTCGCTGCCTTCAATCAGTTTTGAAATACTTAAATCGTATTGAGTACAAACAGGACCATGTTCGATTGCGTCGCGAACGCCATTCCATGGTTTTGTTGGTAGCGGTGCCTAGAAATTATAAATGTTCCCAATTTTATGATATATTTAACTAGGTCGTAGGTATCAAGTTAATTGTTGGTAGCTAAGAAGCTTTAGTGATCATCCCGAGTTTAATCGAAGCCGTACCAATTAATGAAATAATGAATGCATCTACATAGTCTCTCTTCGCAATGGTACCTAACTAGTGAGAGACTAGTGCCTCATTGTTCACACCTACGTATAAAAACATGTATTACAAGCCACCATGAAGATTCAGGCCAACAATCACGGTAGCAGTGCAGTGGACTAAATTTTCAGAAGTTAGAGATCTGTGCTCAGCAGTGCGTCGTATATAGGCTGCAACTTTACTATTAGGCCTAAGTACCTAAACAATATACCGTACTCGAAGAGCCGAATACTTTACTAAGGCAATTGTACCTCGCTGATTACAAGAAAGGATTGGGTTTTTCCGAGCCATACAGGATGGTGTGCGGGGTGAGGCAAGGGGGGCTGACATCGCCGAGGCTCTTCAACTTGTATATGGACGCACTGATTCGAGAGCTCAGCAGCATGCGTGTCGGATGCCATATCGGCAAGGTCTGTGTGAACAATAAGAGCTATGCGGACGATATGGTTCTGCTGGCACCCTCAGTTAGTGCGCTGAGAGCTCTACTCGGTGTTTGTGAAAAATTCGCTGTTTCACATGGTTTACTATACAATACCAAAAAGTCACAGTTCATGGTGTTTAAGGCTGGCGGTAAATGTCCTAGTGTTTTACCCCCTGTAAAGCTCTATAACGAACCACTAGAAAGGGTCTATAGTTTTAAATATCTTGGACATATTTTGACTGACAGTCTTAAAGACGATGGAGACATTGAAAGAGAACGTAGGGCACTGTTGGTGAGGGCGAATACGTTGGTGCATAGATTTGGTCGCTGTACTGACGCTGTCAAAATCACGCTTTTCAAAGCATATTGTGCGTCATTTTATTCTTGCAGCCAAGAATAAAATAAGACCTACTACACCAAAAATGCCTATAGTGCCCTACGTACTCAATACAGTAATGCATTCAGGGCGCTGTTGCGGCTGCCGCGCTACTGTAGCGCGTCTGCGATGTTTGCCTGGCGGGTGTGGATAGCTTTGATGCAATAATCAGAAAAAAGATCGCATCGTTTCTAAACAGAGTGCGCGGCAGCGGCCACAATGTGCTGAATGAGATTGCTAACGGTGGGGACTGTCCACTGATTAGACAAATGATCGCCAGGACTATGTCCTGCTTAATAATAAAGTATTGAGTACAAATTATACTACTAACATAGATGTAAGTTTTTCTTTACTAACAAATTCAAAAGATCTTGTTGTCCGAAATAAACAATTTTATTTATTATTATTATTTACTTCTATTTTTTTATAGAATAAGGGTGACAAACGAGCGTACAGTCCACTAGATGGTAAGTGAATGCTGTGGCCCATAGACATCTATATTTATCCTCGAATAAGAATCAAATAGCAGATGTGTTATCATCCCTGAGTACTATGATGGAATGCCTCGTTTACAATAAAGGGTCTCCGGATCTCTCCACTCATCATACGAAACACAGCAGTCCTAAACTATTATTTTACGCTGTTACTGTAATATTACTATAAAAACTTTTCATTGGAATTTACAAGTAAAATTTTTATTTCACATTGTGATTTATTTTCAAGCAAGGAGTACTGTTACGCCGCGTAGTGGTAGCGTAGGTGAATCCACTGTCCCATATCTGCGTGGATGTCGCAAGTGACGACACAAAGAATGAAACAGGACATGGGCAGCAGCAACTTCCTGATAATTATTTTTAAAAAAATGCAGTTGCCATCGTTACGGATGGAGACTATGCCAAATACTCTCCTAAGAGGCAATTTATGGGAGAGGCGTATGCTCAGCAGTAGATTCTGATAGGCAGTAATTAAGATGATGATGACTACTGCTACAGGTTGACAAAGAAGTAGCTCGTCTTTTCGAGGTACGTATATTAAAGATCAGTAGATTATTATAACAATTATTTATTTATTTAACACACCAATAATACGTAAACATACATAACATATACGACATTATTATAAAAACATACCTACACATTATTACACTCTCTGATATGCATATAAATAAAAGTGTACAAAACATTCACAAAGTATTTACCTGAAACCTTAGATTGCCAAGAGGCGCCTGTGCATACGGGATGCCTTTGAAACTATAGTATTTAGATCCATCTAATAATGTACCCACGGCGCCTCTAAGTTTGCCTTCTGTCACGGTTACTATTGCATTTTCCTAAAATAAAAGAAAGATACTTACATAGATATAACATGAGAATTACTATATAATAGCATGAGGATTCTTTAGCACTTCACTCATTCCCTCATCACTGACTTTAGTCGACTGCGGGACGTAGTGCTCAGAATATTTGACTTCTGAGGATCAGCGGATCCTGGGTTCGAATTCTAACTATAGACTAGGCATCATGTGTATAAACAGAAGAAATTTATTTTCAGGTGCCGATGTATGTATAGTGATTCTAATAATTCTTTTAGATCAGGCTCAAAAATTTCTAATGGCTTTCCATGGATTGTGATATAACTATCTCGTTTACGCTATACGTAAGATATCAAGCCCAGTAACGTGGAACAGCGTCATATGAGCCTGACGTCTAATACTTCCAAATCCTCTTGCATCTTGTAGAGGAATATACAAGCTTGATTGTGAGTGTGGTCTCTCATATATAGTGCAAACAAAACGATCAACGTTTCGGGAAGTCTGTAGTTTGTGATCATATCCTAGACGGCCCCCGCCATTACATTAGATTTGATAAACCACAAATTCTAGCGAAAGAACATCGATTTCTGCCAAGGATGATACGTGAGGCTATTGAAATTAAAAAAAAAACATCCTAATTTCAATAGAGAAGGAGGCTGGGTACTACCACCTGCTCGGGATCCTATAATTAATAAAATTAAAACTAAACCCAAGCATACCACTGCAAGACTTCAAGTCACAGTAAGTTCATTCTGCGTAGATCGGACCAAAATTAATAACAAAAAAGCTGAAGGTACTCCGGGTTAACTCTGACTTCGGGACATCAGTCACCTCAGTCCCCCGTGACCATGGTTGCTGGAAAGCAACCGAAACGTCGGGAATATAAAATAAGTTAATTAAACGCGATAAAATCCGTAAAAGTGGTTTATTCCATGTGTAGTGTCCGCGTAAATATAAGAAATCATTATGTAAATCCTCTTAATCCATGAAAAATATAGTGGCCCTGCATCTAACCCTGCCTGCTTATCACACAAACGATGTTCGTCTCTGATAAACAGCGTCAGTACGAGGCTGCCGGCTCTACGCCCCTAACCTTGCTCTCATTACTATGTTCACCTACCCACCTGTAAAGGATGGTGTTGTTTGTATGTTTAGATTCATATTTTGTGCAAAAAAAACGGAAAGCACATCACAGTAGCATTTTTCTCGTATCGTGAAGGCGTGCACATAGACAACATCCAAACCCGGATCAATTATTCGTATTTGTAATCCATATGAATCCTTTTTTATATGCGGGATTCGAATCCACAGCCTTGCAGTATAGTAAATATTATCAAACTTTGCACAAATTCATTATAGTATTAAAAATGTCACCGGTACTAAACTTATTGAGACTCGCATAGCAGGAACGAAACAATACACATTTGACAATATTCGTACATATGTATTTAAGGTTTTGTTATGGTAGAAATGTGATAAGAAAATGTCGAATTTTAGTTCTTCTTTTAGGTCTTTAGGGCTGCCAACGCACGTCAATTTTGATTGGTAATGGAGGATAATTTTAAATGTCTATGGGCTACTGCATCCACTTCCGAGTATGATGTATGATGAAGTAAAACTTCTTTATGACAGATGTGGTTTAAGATGTTTATTTCTCAAAAGAATTATAATTCACTTACATGAGAAATGTTCACAATATTACATAGCTTAATTCAAACGGCACGACACACAAACAAAGTGATAATAAAACAAAATGACACAGTTTTCTTTAAAATCTAAGGTAAATAATGTAACAAAAAGAAAAGTTTTAAGTGCAAAGTAAAATAATAAACGTAAAATGCAACGATTAAAAATAGCATTCATTTACACTATTTGGTTCGACCGCAGAGTGCAAAAATATTCATATACCGACATTATGCTTCGCTTAATCGAATTGACGTTGAACTATCGAGACTGGAAGTGATATGCATCCTTAATTGAGCGCAATTACTACTTGGTCAATGCTATATAAGCTTTCTTAGATATATTTTTTAAACTTTCTACCAGTATATACATATATACAAATATATACACACACACACACACACACACATACATATACATTTACATACATACACATACACACACATACAAACATACACATACACGTACATATACATGTGTGAATACATTATTTACATACCAATACATATATATGCACATACACATACACACACATATTCACATTCAAGTTTTATTAATCATAATTGTATTAAGTTGAATCAAATATTATGCCAATTTAATAACATTTTAGCATTTTAGTTTACGTATTAATATTTTAATCATCCAATGATTAACTACAATTTAAGCGAAGTACCAAACCACCTAGATTATGTGTTTAGAAAATAAGGTTTTAATAATTTTTTAAAGGTTGTCATAGATTTGGCATCCCTTATCTCTTTTGGTAGTTTGTTGTAGATTAAGGCACCTTCATTCAAAATACATTTTTTACCGTAGTTAGTACGTGCTGTACGTAGTTTTAATTCTCTGTAAAGTCTTGGTCTTAGTTTTGTTATAGGTTTATTTTTTGTAAATGTTATTTCTGTACGAATGCTTTTATTTAGTATTTTACGTACTAAAATGCAAGTACAATATTTATATGTTTGTTATATATTCATGATTTTAATATCCTTATAAACTTGGGCCGTTGGAGTAAGAAAGTCGTAATTAAATAGTACCTTAACCAGTTTATTTTGTGCTACCTGTATTGTTTCTATATTTGTTTTTCCTGCTGTGCCCCACGCCTCTATAAGGTATTCAATGTGTGGTTTGACTAACGAATTATAAATAGTGTAACGCACGTCACGTCGGAAAATTTCACTATATTTCGCAGTGCAACAGTAAGAGAAACCAATTTAGATTTAATATTATTTATATGAGACTTAAATGTCAAATGGTTATCCAACAACAGACCAAGGTATTTTTCATGATCTACCTTAGAAATTAGTTCACTATTTATTATCAAAGGCTGATAGTTACCAATTTTTTTATTTTTTGATGTAATAATTACGTAGTGAGTTTTGGTAATATTTATAGTAAGAAGGTTAGATTGAAACCAAGTATTCAATATATTAAGATCTGATTGAGCATCGGCAATCAATACATCAATCGAATATCCGTAGTAAAACAAACATGTGTCGTCTGCATATAACGTTATGTTACCTTTTAATCCTATACCCTTAATATTATTGATATAAGTCAGAAAAAGCAACGGCCCTAATATACAACCTTGGGGTACTCCAAAAGTTATTAATTTTGGTTTGCTTTGATTAGAACCAATTTTTACAACTTGATATCTATTGGATAAGTATGATGCAAAAATATCCAAAGCAGAACCAGAGATACCAATATATTTTAATTTACTCAGTAACAGTTCATGACTAACCGTATCAAACGCTTTCTTAAGGTCTATAAAAATACCTAGTGCTAATTGTTTTTTGTCTATGCTAACTTTGATTTTTGTGACTAAATCTATTGTTGCCGAAAGAGTATTCGATTTCGGTCTAAAACCGTATTGTTTATTGTATAGTATTTTTTTAGAATTTAAGTAGTATGCAAGACGATTGTATAACGCACGTTCGAAAACTTTAGATAGTACTGGTAATACTGAGATTGGTCTGTAATTTCCGGGATCTGATTTAGTTCCTGTTTTATATATCGGAGTTACTTTTGCTACTTTTAAACTGTCTGGAAATACGCCTTGTTCAAAGCAGTTATTAATGCAATTTACAAGCTCTTCAACAAATATGTCCTTGATGCATTTTATAGATTTTGTAGTTACCCCGTCTAACCCAGCACTAGTGTTAGGATTTAAGTCGTCTATAATTTTACTGATCTCGTGTACAGTTGCAGGTGTCCAATAGGATACAGCATCACTTCCAGTTTCGTTAGTTATTTTGTCTAATACTGGTTGGTTAACTTTAGATATCTGATTTGCCAGGATCGAACCGATATTCGAGAAAAAATCATTAAAACATTCACAGATATCTCTACTATCACTAATAATATAACCCTCGTGCGTGACTAGTTTATTCGGAGCAGTAGTTTCTTTGAGCTTATTATTAGATAGATTATTAATTAGTTTCCACATTTTTGCTGGTTTGTGTTTACAATCTATAAACGCCTTATAATAGTATTCGCTTTTAGTTTTTTGTATTAGATTGCTTACTTCACTTCTTTTCTTCACGAAATTATCTCTTGTACTTTCATTACTTGAATTAGTTTTATATTTATGCCATAATTTATTTCTTGCGTTTATTTCGTTTAAGATATCTTTATTAATCCAATCCCTTCGTGGTAGATTGAGAACTTTGATCTTAGTGGTTTTGCTTTTATATATGCTAGATAGAATTTTTTCTTCCAGTTTTACATAATCATGATTATTATTGTTTCCAGTTATTGTATTATACAATTTGGTGTAGTTTATTGCTTTATATTCATATTTTGATAAAACATCTTGCTTATACTTCTTGATCTCAAAATAGATCTGTCTATGATCAGACATAGATGATTCTATTATAGCAAGGTGAAATTGATGTTCTTTGAGACTCGTGCTAACATGATCAATGACAGTATTCGAAGAAGGAGTTACACGGGTAGAGTATTTTGAATCAATTTTATTTAACAATTTGTAGCCACACTGTTCCAGCATTTCCATATACATAGAAGTTGTACGTTCATGGGATAATAGATCTATATTGTAGTCACCAAATACCACTGCCCTTCTGCGCGATTCTAATTTTGTTGAGTATGTTTCTATGAATTTATTAATATTGCTATTGTCGGGCTTTCTGTAGATTACACCCACATCCAGCGAATACTTGTCAACGTGAATCCATAGATAATGATTATCATCAAGACATTGTTGTTCTATAAGATTATGTTTCAAGTTGTTGTGAGCAAAGATTGATACTCCACCACCTCTGCTACTGGGTCTTACGTTATAGTAATGAGTATAACCACATATTTGAAATTGTTTAGCTTTCTCTTCACACTTTATCCAAGTTTCCGTAATTAAAATTAAATGTATCGTAAATTGAAAAGATTTTAAAATACATTTAAGCTCTTCAAATTTGCCTGCTTTAACTATACTGCGTGCATTGATATAAAAACATTTTAAGGAGTCTTTTGTCATTATAATATTCTCATACTGAGAAGCTAGTTGGTGAGAGATAGTTTTAAAGGTTGGGATTTGACTATTATGAAATTTTGTTAGTTTTTTGGCGCAATTTCAACTATTTTAGGTATACCTTTATTGTATTTGATAGTTAGGTTTATCTCTCCATTGTCCTTTCGATATTTCAACTCTTCTTTTAGTTTTTTGTAAAAAGATTGTTGTCGAGGCGTTTGATCTGGGAAAATTTTAATGGGGTTCAGTTTTTCATTACTTTTAGAACGTAATACAAAAACAGCTTCTTCTGATGTTGAGAAACACACTTTTTTTCAAGTGGCCTTTGTTTATCTGGCGCATACTTTCCCAGGCGTGTAATACTTTTTGGTCCCGTACAATCATTGGAGATCTTTCTTAATAAACTAAGTACTTCTCTCTTTTCAGTCTCTTTTCTTTCTTTGTAATCAGATGTTTTTGTTTCCATTAATCCAGTTATTATTATGTTTTTGCTTCTAACCAATCGATCGGAAAGTTCTGACATTACAGTTTCTCCTATTGTGTTACTAATAGTTGTTGTGGTAACTGGAGCTATTAGTTTTGTACTATGGAGGTTTTTCATTTCAGAGTCTAACTTTCTCATTTGTTTGTCATTTTCATTGTATTTGCTGATCAAGTTATCTATGTTACGCTTCATTTTTTCATTTTCGAATCGAAGACTATCCATCTCGGTCTTAAGATCTTTTACATGTTCCTTTAGTAAACTGACATCTTCCGATATCTTGTTTATAGTTTCCGTTTGATTCTTGTTAATCGATGTTAAAATTTGCATCATTTCTGCCATTCCCTTTCGTATTTTGCTCAGTTCATCTTTAATATCCTGGTCACTAGTATGTTTCCGCTTGCTACGAAATGCAACTTGCGTTGCCGTAGAAACGTCTGTGGCTGAATCTCCCGTAAATAAATTAGGTTGTGAACCACTAAGTCCAGAGCCTATACCGCTTCTAGTAGGTGAGCGTATTGGCATCATATTGATCCGTGGCACGTATATTCACTCGCGGCATACCCAACAATGTAATGTCACAATAGCGTAGGGCAGTGTATGCCGATTTACTTTATGCACTTAATTAACTTAAGAATCAAGTTCGTATAAGCGTATTTTATTATTTTTGTAATTACAACCGATAACACGTCCACCCTGTTTGATGTCGTGCGTGTAACCCCAATTAGCTGCCAACGCACGTCAATTTTGATTGGTAATGGAGGATAATTTTAAATGTCTATGGGCTACTGCATCCACTTCCGAGTATGATGTATGATGAAGTAAAACTTCTTTATGACAGATCATACTTCTTTTATTATATTTTACATAAGTAGTCTAAATAGTAGTATACTCATGCAGCCGCGGTGGTGAAACGTTAAAACGTGACAGTTTTGATTTTTTTAATACCGTACCAAATTTCTCATCTACGTCGGTAAAGAAGTTTTACTTCAAAAACTTGTATAATATAATTTTTTAAACTTTATCTAATAAAAGTGACCTCTGTAATCTAATATATAAGCAAAAAAAATTGGTTACCTATTAGACAGTAATTAAGAGCCCTTAACTATCGCGAAAAAAATAGGGCAAAGACAATGTTAATGTTTAAGTTGACTAAAACTCGTGTAATTTTTTTTTGGTTTAATTTTTTGTATTCCTATTAATTAAATTAATTATTATTTTGGTTTAATATTTTGTAGTCTATTATTGTAGTTTGTTATTGTATTCTACATCTACTTATTTATCTCTATAGGTATAGGTAGAGGATGCATAAAGCATTAAATATGCTTATACAATTCTAATTATAGTTGAATAAGTAACAAATGGAGTGTCTGAAAAAACAGAGCTACGCTACGTGGGTAGGATATGAAATCGTTATCTCGTGCAGCAAAACTATACTCAAGAGCATAGATAATGTACTACATACCTATATACATGGCCGGGTTAACCATTTCGAGGCCCTTAGGCAATGCAATTCTCGGGGGCCCTTTGTACACAGAGGAGATTAAAAGTTTTTAACGTAACGCATCCATATTATTAGTTTTACTAATCGATACTAGATGATTCTGTTCTGAAAGTATGAAGTATTTCATCAACTGACAGCATGCGTCGCTAAAACCCAGTAATACCTATTGTTATTGAGGATACAAATTTTCCAATTGAATTTTCACTGTATGATATATTTTCCATTACTTAAGTGCGCGCGCGGGGCCCCTAGCCGATACGGCGCCCCTAGGCAGTTGCCTACTCTGCCTAATGGTTAATCCGGCCCTGCCTATATAGGGCAATAAAGTGTAAGGATCAAAGGCTTTTAAATATAAACGAGCAAAGAGTTATCAAGAGTAGAATTTTTTTGAGACAGTAAACTAATACACATTTTAAAACGCCATAATTAAAAAACAAAACTACCTACATATTTAGAATTCAATCAAAATAATTTGCTAAGTAAATACTGTCAAAGTAAAGCATAATATGAAAAAAAGTTTTATTAAATATTTTTTTTATAGGATAGGGTGACAAAGGAGCACACAGTCCACCTGATGGTAAGTGGTTACTGTGACCCATAGACATCTACATCTATCCTCAATAAAGACTCAAGATGCAGATGCGTTGTCACCCGTGAGGACTAAGATGGGATGCCTCTTTGCCAGTAAAAATTGTCTCCGGTTCTCTATACTCACCATACGAAACACAGCAGCGTTAAGCTGCTATTTTACGCTGGTTTTCTGTGAGAGCCTGGTCCTTCCCCGGTCGAGCCGACTCATTCGTGCTACAACTATACTACTAATATAGCTGCAGTAGAGCCATACTAAAATACTACTATACCACGTAAAAACTGTTTTGTTTCTCAAAATAACATTTAAATAATGAAAATAAACTTACATGTTTTCTGTTAACTCTTCCACTTGAACAATATTCTGTGAGCAAACACACTATAAAGACACATAAAATGTCCTTGTAACTCACCATCATAATAGATTTATAAGCTCGCACGAAACACCTTACTGCACTGACCTGTTTTCTTACTGACCTGTATAAATATAAATACAACATAATTATCTGTGTCACTGACTTAGCTGTGAGCAGTGTTACCAACTCGAATTTTTCCACACCCGTCGATTGGTATAAAACTATCGTATAGAATACCGTAGATGCTATTTCAAAATATCTGTAGATCTGTATTATTCTCAAGAGAATCGATATTTTTTGTTTTTGTCATAGAATAAATCAATTTTTTGGAAGAATTCTTTCTGTCATGTAAAATTCTTGTTGTAAGTTCAATAGTAGTATAACATCGAATGAAGCTGCACATATGAGAAAAAAGTACCATAAAAATGATTAAAATTTATTGTTTTCTTTTAATTTAATTATTTTTAGTTATAAACAAAAAAAAATATTAACGCTTAAATATTTGTTTATTGTATAACTCATTCGCTACACATAAATTATAAAGAATAGAAACGGCATACTATATTATTTGAAATATTCTTTTGCAATAGGGATTTGCTTTGTGGCATTTCTTGGGGGAGGCCTATGTTCAGGAGTGGATTTGTGAAGGGCTGTAATGATGATAATGATGATGAATAGGGAGTGAAGATATGACGTCCGCCAACACTAATGCGGGAGTGATGGACTCAACCACACCACCTCATTTATGATGGTGGACGTCACACCTTCTCTGTTATCAGTCCGTAAATGTCCACTGCTGGATATGGATCTCTCTCCCATTAGAGGGAATATTTGCCTTAATCCGCTTGCCAGACGTCTCGTACTCACTTTTTAATGCTTTGTATATTACGCTTGGCGTAAACGAGATGTTTGTACCGCCATGTATCGGAAACCATAAGATATTTTTGACATCTTACGACAACCACGGGACGAACTAGTCAATGGGTTCTCTGTGCCGCCACCACACTGCAAGAACTTCACATCTTCTCTAAGTATTTATTTTATTTTTCGGATATACAAATTTTTATTAATACCGAAATTACTATACAACTGATAATATTATGTTCGTAGGTATTACATTAAGTAAAAATTAAAAAATATATATATATTTATTAATTAAATAACACCTCTTTTATTTTGAAAAAAAAATTAAAATAAATAACAGCTATTAACAATCTTCAACAATATGAGGCACGCCTGCTTCTGTATACAGCTCGTTCCAGAATCTCATTCGCTCTCCGTTGGCGTAGTTCCCGACGGACATGTTGTCCTCTATCTTCAAGTATTCTTTTCCACATCTTGTATAAGGAAGCCATTTTGTACCCAAGCTATTGTCTGGGGTTGGATTGCTGCAATGTTACGAACATCATGAATAATCATATAATATGCTATGTTTAAATATATATATTTATTAATGTATACATAATATTTAATAATTTAAAATTAAAAAAATTTGTACAACCGACTTCAATATAAATTATTAAGAATAACTCAAAAATTATTGGCCAGACCTTGATAAAATTTATATGGGACCACATGTGAAGCATCAGCTTTCAAATAAAAAAAGAACCATCGAAGTCGGTTCACCCAGTAAAAATTAATGAGGTAACACATATAAAAAAAACATACAGTCGAATTGAGTACCGGCTCCTTTTTGAAGTCGGTAGAAAATATACGTGGAACATTTATTTATTTTATTTACTTAATCTTTTTACATCTACCTTATAATAAGGGATATAAAGGGTGGACTTAATGCCTTATGGCATTCTTTACCAGTCAACCCTGGATGGTTTGAGAAGCTGTGGCAGGTGTAACAACCTCTTCATAAATTAATAAATAAGTAATAAAGATTATATCTTACAACAAACAGCAAATAGCTAAAATATATTTAAAATATACAAATTTAATATCTACTTTGCAATAAAGAAAGAATGAATAGTAAATATATAAACGGATAATTATATATACAAAATCTTTAAATAAATATAAAATAATATGATACAAAAATAAAATTACATGATACATATTAAAATACATATTATACTAAATATCACTTACAAAGCGAAAGAGAGAGAAAAACAAAAGTCGGATAAATCAGGTGGTATTATTCTTGTTAAAGATTCTCGAACATTTTAAAAGACTAGCAGCTAGCTCTTAAAATGTTTGTAACTGGTTTTCTTGCTATCAACAGACAGGGCATTCCAGAGCAGTATGGACTGCATAGTAAAAGAGGAATTAAATAAACCACTCCTGTGTGGTGAAATACGAATTTTAAGACTATTTTGGGAACGGGGAACTCTATCATGAGTAGAATACTGATATTGAAAGTTGTCCTTAAGATAAGAAGGAAAATTTGGGTCAATAAAATTGAATATAGTACTTTAAAATTCGGGAATATTATACGTGGTGGAGCCATGCTGCAGCTATATTATGGTTGTAATATCAATAGTTCTGACTGGGTAATACCACGCACTCACAGAATACCAGCGTAAAATAGCAGCTTAATGCTGCCGTGTTTCGTATGGTGAGTATATAGAACCGGAAACCCTTTTTACTACAATTGAGGCATTCCATCTTAGTCCCCTTGGGTGACAACGCATCTGCATTTTGATTCTTAATCGAGAATAAATGTAGATGTATATAGGCCACAGCATCGAGTCACCATCAGGGTGACTGTATGTTCGTTTCTCACACTTATTCTTTAAAAAATATATAAATAAAATAATATAATTTTATCGATCTTAGGAGGTTAATCGCATGCCATTAAGGTTAGAAAAACCATTTGTAAAATTCCTATCCTATCCTACTGCAGGCGGCGCAGTTCTTCTCTCATTTCTGAGAGAGTTATCAAGCGTGTTGACGGACTTAACATGACCTTCAGATATTGTTGTATTGTAATCGTTTCTTCTTATCGTTGCCCTAAAGTGTACAATCAGTTTTAACAACAACTGACTCAATTAAACCTATGAGTCAATAAAATACCAGACGGCACAAATTTTGGCTCCGTGCCGTGCCTTCGACTTGTTTTCCTCATGCGACAG